TCCTCCTGGATCTTTTAGGAGAGTTTAAATTTCTGCTACTAGTTTTTAAGGCCCTAAATGACTTTAAGGCACACTTACATCACAGAGTATCTGTCTGTTTATGTTCCAGCCTGTGATCCTAGATCTGCAGATACTGACCTTCTGCAGACACTTTCCATAAAAAACGGAAACATGGAGAGACTCGTTCAGTTATTCTGCTTCTAAACTGTGGAGCTCAGTTCACCTTTTATTAGACAGTCAAGCTCAGTGCTCACCTTTAAGATACATTTAAAAGCGTATCTCTTTAATTTAGCTTTTAATTAAACTTCTACTTCACTTTTTTGAGTTTACCCTTTTTTAGTTTGATCTATATCATTGCTTCATTCATCATTTTAAATTAATATTCTTAACTTTTATTTCTCTACTCGCTAAATTATAGTTACCGAACAATAACTATGAAAGAAATCTTCTACTACTGTTACACTTTGTCACCTGTCTGTAAAGCACTTTAAAAAGTGCTCAATAAATAAAGCTATAAAGTTATTTTTTAGGCATATTTCATTGCACTGACATTACATTATGATTACATTCCATTATAGTTGCTGCTCAACGTGCCTTATAGGAGTAATAAACATTTAGTGAAGCGTTATAAGGATAAGTAGCATAAAATCAAGTCAGAAACATGAGAAAAGCAAGAAACAGGGAAGCTGAAGAAGACTTAAGTCACTTATTTGATTACTAAACGTTGTGTAGTGTTCAATTATAGTGATGTATGAAAGGATGAGCAGGAGAATCAGTTTGCATTCTTTTGATAAACTGTGGGATTTGGACCTGAGTTGTAGCTGCAGGCTGATCTGTGCATTTGCTAAGCAAAGTGCTGCGCAGCTGAAAGGAGGGGGGGTCGCCCTGCTGGAGACACAGGAGCTGCCTGGTAAAATATTAACTGCAACTTTAGATGCTGTTAGAGAGAGACTGGACACAGCACACAGAGCTGAGAAGGATATCAAGCTTTAATTGACGTGACCTTGATGACCTTTGTGTCAGTGCATGATTTGCATACAAGCTACATTTACAGTAATGAGCACTACTGTGTGTTCATGTAGGGGTCAATTCAATGCAAATGACCATGCAGGACTTTGTTATAGAGGTCATTTCGCAGTGAACCTTCATCCATAGACACTTGGAATGGTTTTGTGGCTTGTGTTTCTGCTCAGTTGTAGGTTGTAACTAGTTACATTGGCTCAGTTCCATTAACTGCAGTAATTTTTGACTTTTAGTGTTTTCAAATGACACATTTACTTAGACTCAAGTATATTAGTGAGGAAAGTTACGTTACCAGAGCTGGTTTATGAGAAGCCTTGCCTCTTCCTATTTTGCCCGTTATATCAAAAACATGACTGCAAAACGCCAAAGGGCACCCACGAGCGAGTCCTCAATGAATGGTGGTAAATGGAGCTTAACAGCTCAAAATGAACAGTTAAAATAGTTTTTAATCACTTGCCCAGAACTTTGTTTTAATTTTAGAAAGTTGATGAAGGATGTATTTCATTAAAAAAGCAGAAAGCGAAAACTTACTGGTACTTACGTTTTAAAATATAACAGCTGAAAATATAATAAGCTATGATCTTAACCCATTCATTTTGCCCTCAGAGTGGTAATTCTCCTCTCTACAAGTTCTCTGATGTTACCTCCAGGCCATTTTAGTCATTTCATTCCTAATTTTCTTTTTTGGAGGTGTAGATTTAGGGTAGAGGTGGGCAATATGATGACATTTTATTGTTATTGTGATGCATTTTGATATTGTGATAATAAACTTGTGTGAGCATATTGTGTATATCGTCAGTAATTGATGAACATTGACCAACCGCATGATTCATTATAAAGAGAGCAAAATGAATCCTGTTTGATTGGATTCAGTGTGACACATTATGACATGTTGAATAAAAATGACTGCATTCAGAGTTTTTAATGGCAGTTTTTAAATGTAACTCTGCTAGTGCACTATGTGTGTTTGTGTGTCAAAACATTGTGCACCATATTGTGTATCACAAAAGTGTCTTTGGGTATCGTGATCACCCCTACACACTTAAAAAGATGGTTCTTCAAGGGTTCTTTAGTAAAGAAAATGGTTCTATATGGAACCGTGAACACTCTAAGAACCCTTTGCATGATTACAGGGTTCTTGTGATTGATGGACAAAGCATTTTATATGGTTCTATGTAGCACCAAAAAGGGTTCTTCTATTATTACAATTTCAAGGTTGTAACAATAGCAGAACCCTTTTTAGTGCTGCATAGAACCACAGACAACACATTCTCCTGTGATCATGCAAAGGGTTCTTTGAGTGTTTATGGTTCTATATAGAATCACTTTCTTTACTAAAGAACGCTTGAAGAACCATCTTTTTAGCACCAAAAAGGGTTCTTCCGTAAACACAGTGCTTATATATAGAACCATGAACACTCAGAGAACAATTTGCATGCTCAAAGAGTTCTTTGCATGTTAAAATGGTTTTTCAAATTGATGGAGAATGTGTTATAGATGGTGATATAGAAAAAGTTTCTCTCATTGTAACAAGCTTGATATTATAACAACAGAAGAACCCTTTTTGGTGCTATTCAGAACCCTTTTCAAAAAGGTTCTTTACAGAAAAGTAACATATTCTCCATCAATCTCAAGAACCGTTTCATGATGCAAAGAACCCTGTAATCATGCAAAGGGTTCTTAGAGTGTTCACGGTTCCATATAGAACCATTTTCTTTACTAAAGAACCCTTGAAGAGCCATCATGTTTGAGAGTGTAGTTTACTGCTCTTCCAAGCTCTGGTTCTGTTTACAGTGTTCTCACTGTAAGTGGTTACTGGGTTTTTCTTAGCAGGCGAGTAAAAATGCATCAATCTGAAGGTGATGATTCTGGAGTCTTAGAATAATAACTTGATATTGATATTCATTAAAATATATTCTCGTTTGTGCACCAAAATAAAATTCTTTGTCAATTTCCAATGTATTTATAGTTGTAGTTCATGTAATCAAATTTATAGTTAGGTAATCAAATTGAATCTAATTGAATTGTGAAATATCATGATTCACATCCTTTTGAACTTATAAAAAAAGAACTACAGTCACATGCAAAAGTTTGAACACCCCTGGTGAGATGACATGGTCTGTTGATTTTCTAAGTGAAAATAAGTTAATGCATCCTTTACAGAGAACACGCTTAAATATAGTATTTTACTGCAAATTTTAATGCACAAATAAAACATAAATTATAAAATGTGCCATAACTTTTGCATTTTATGTTTTATTTTTTCCCAATATGTTACATGCAGTAAATAAGCAGTATTGGTATATTAAAATGTGCAGAAGTGTGTTCTCAGCAGAGGAGGTGTTAACTTATTTACCCTGAGAAAATCTTACTTTTACATGTGACTGTCTTAGTATGAGACAGCACTACAACTGTAAAAATAAGTTAAAAAAAAAGGTTCTCTGGAGTAGTGCCTTAGAAGACCCACTTATGGTTCCTTAAAGAACCTTCCAGTAATGTAATTTTAAATACAAAGTCTGTGCAATTTTTGGCAATGAGTGTACAATATTTACGCAGAGTTGAAAACAATATACATTAATATGGAAGGTGTATGCAGCAATGTACTGTGTTATAGTATTACTATAGATCTTTTATTAAGGGTGAATAATTTCCTAAAGAATCATAACTGAATCAGGCTGTTCAGAGGTTTTACAATGTTTGCGTATTTGTTGTGTAATGGCAGTAAATTGGGCTAAAACGCAGGCTGCAGTTCAAAGAAACATAAACACTGACATGTTGACCCATTTTAACCTGAGTCAGTTGCAGTCAGAATTAAGCTAATGCTATTGCTAACAGCATCAAATGTACCAAAAATATTCAACCAGCATAGACAGACTTCTGTGAACTGATAAAAAATGCGGTAGTGTTTCCTTTAACACGTCCCTCCTCTCAGTGTAGTTTCGTGATTTGTCACTGTGCTGCTGGTCGAGTGTTTTGATAGTAGGTGAAAAAAAATGTCATTGCCAAGAGTGAAGAGTGCCAGTGTGTGAACTCCTCCCAGATGACGTAACCACTCAAACACTCGCCGCACGCAAGCTCAGCTGACGTCAGGGTGTGTGAAGGAGCTGATAAGAGTTTTACACACTGCAGGATACTGATAGATTCAACAAACTGAGGAGAACCAGGAGAACCTTTAAAATAACTCAGAGAGAGAGTGTGAAGAATACGTGGAATCTGTTTTATCAGCTATTATTTCTCCTCCACTCAGCTTCAGCTGACAACAAGTGACAGAACTATCCTGAAAAATAAACAATACCCCCACCACACACACATCTCCCCAAAAACAAAAATGACAAATGACAAAAAATACATAATATATAAAACAAAAATAAAATATTTTACACTTTACCTTATGAACCTTATGTGTTCAAATATGATGCCTCTACACATTTAAAAAACGTTGGGACAGAGCATGTTTGCCACTGTGCTACATAATTACTCTTTTAACAGCACTTAATAATCATTTGGACACAAACTGACCCAGATTTAAAAGCAGAATTTTTCACAGTTCTTCTGGAGTTTTCAAATTATGAAAAAAGTAAAAGAAATTACACAATGATGATGATATGTGTTCTGAAATGTGTAGATAATGGTGTCTGCACAGATGTGCAGGTTATCCACTAATATCCTCAATACTATGACAGATACTGACTTTTGAACTTTACGCTGGTAACGATCTAAACGGTTCTTTTCCTCTTTGGCCTGGAGAACACAATGTCCATTATTCCCATAAAAAATCTAAAAGGTTGACTCGTCAGACCACAATATAGGTTTATTCTGTGCATCAGTCCACATTGGATGAGTTCGAGCCCAGAGAAGTCGGCGGTGTTTCTGTACACTGTTGACATGTGACTTCCACTGTGCCGTGCTGTCAGACATATTTGATTTTGAAAGGTGGGTCTTAAAGTCAGTGTCTCTTCTCTCTGCTTTGCTTTCAGGGTGTTTGTCAACAAATCCGTGACTCTGGAGAACATCAAGTGTTATGGCTTCGACATGGACTACACGCTTGCTAGTGAGTGAACTGTGGACAGCTGATAGCTAGCTAGCTAAGAATGTACTAGACAGATAAATAGATACATAGATGTACTTCCATGGTCCACTTGGACGCTTGGATGAAAATTTGGATGCTAGCATAGTTAGCTTGCTGACTAGCAGATGCATTTTATTGCTCACTTTGTTGAAAAAAACAGCACAGACCAGCATGCATTCCATGCTGGTGTACTCTGTTCTAGTGCTGGTCTAGTGCTGGTTTAGCTGGTCACTCAGCATGGTCATGATGGTTGACCAGCATACCAGCATCCAAACCACAACATATGCTTTTTTGGGTGGTAAGCAGGCATGCTGGTCTTTGCTGTTTTTTTCTAGCAGAGCAGGTAGAAGTTTGGATGCTACAGTAGAATAAAAATGTTGAATGCTACAATTATGGTCACTAACTCACTATATAGCTAGATGTACTGTAATAATATATAAAGTACTGACATTTTTGACTCATTTACTTTTGGCCCAATCAGGTTTTACCATGATTGTTGATACCTGACATTTTAAATCTCCTTTGGTCCTTTGGAATAGCCATTTTGTCCTTTCAGCAAAAATCAAACCACCTTAGGAGCCACAACATTTTATGTTCATTTTACCATCTTGACTGTAAATATGTCTCAGTATGTGATAATGTGCTACTGTAGGCTAAAAAATGTAATATACACAAAAACGCAGACTTGCTTTGCCCTTCTTTAATCTTTAGCTCAGCTGTAGCCGCTTTTCTCGCATCTCTGACAGGAAACTTTTCTTCAGAAGCAGAACAGTTTCTTGTAAAACAGTTTCTTCTCATTCTCCAGCTTCTTGTTTGAATTTTCCTATTACACTTTAAATGGTGCAGCAGTTACATTCTGGCGCCTCAGGCACCATTTAAGGTGGAATGAGAAAAGTCGAACAAGAAGTTAAGTTAAAGGCTGAATTAGCAGTTATGCATTAACTCCAGTGTTTAAGACAGTTTATTGTTAATCTATGTTAGAACGATCAGCTTTATTTTACTGTAAAGGAGGATTATTTTATTTTTACCTAAAAATCGAATTCTGCTGTGTGCCGACCCCTAGTTTAGACCAATCAGATCAGGTTCTGCTGCGTTTTTCCTCTTCATACCTAATTAGGTAAGTTAATTTAGGCCATATCAGCCTCCTTCCAGATGTGATCTTATGACTCAGGTTGGAGTTGAATAAGACTCCTGCTGTGTTCTATAGAGAGTGAAAATCTGTGGAATCAGTTTAAAATGATGCTGTGATCTAACAACACTGTTTCCCTTCTGCAGTTTACAAATCTCCTGAATATGAGGGGCTGGGCTTTGAAATGCTGCGGGACAGACTAGTGTCCATCGGATATCCACACGAGCTGCTGCGCTACTCATACGACCCCAACTTCCCTACACGGTGAGAACAATAAACAGACACCTCTGCAGATGTGAAGAGAGGCAATAACTCCAGTTAAATAACCTCTTTGGTAAAGCAGTCACTTTATTGTTTCTTTATTTATCTTTTAACCTCTGTTAAAGCTGCATTATGTAAAGAAATAACATTAATGAATTAGTAGAATTAAAACACTCTAAAATATGGTGAGTGTGCGCTGCTGTGACTCGCCCTGTAAAGCCTGAAATAATCATTGCATTTTTAGAGTAGTAGTAGTAGTATTTTAGTAGCTGTGGTCAGTGCTGCTGGTGATTAGGATCTGTGTTAGGTTACATTCAGCTCTCTGGCCTCGTATACTCAGCTGCGGTTTGTGTTGGACTTGGCTGTTGGATGCTGATGATCAGTGCAGTGTTTACAGGAAACCATACGGGTGCGACTGAGTGATGAGATATTACTATCGCCAGCTTAGTATCACACCCTAAATCTCTGAACCTCAGAAACTCCTATCAGCTCTCTCCTTTTACTTGTAGGAACACCTCTTTGAACAGCTCAGTAACTGCAAATTAGACCTAATCATCAGATTTCCTCCCAGAATCCTCCTAAACAGCAAAAGGTCGACAAAGGTCAAACTAAAAATTCAGCATTCAAACGCAAGCTCTTTCCACAGGGGGGTGAATATAAATATCATTCAAAAATAGATTAGCTCTCCTGGGGGGGGGTATTTCCTCAACTTTTCACCATCCATCATCACAGCTCCAGTGAGTCATAACAGAGACAGGGTGAGCTCTGAGTTTACTGACAGACACTGTAGTGCAGGGGTCGCAACCCAAATGTTAAGAAGAGCCATTTTGTCCTTTCAACAAAAATCAAACCACCCTGGGAGCCACAACATTTTATGTCAATTTTACCATCTTGGCTGTAAATATGTCTCAGTATGTGATAATGTCCCAGTACAGACTAAAAAATATAATATTAATTGTTCTAATTTTCCTGTTCCACCTTAAATGGTGCCTGAGGTGCCAGAATGTAATGGCTACACCATTTAAGGTGGAACGGGAAAATTCAAACAAGAAACTGGTGAACGAGTAGCTTCACGACTTTTCCGTGTTTGACAGTTTTTTGTTGCCGATTAAACGTATCAGGAGGCCAGTTGGAGTGATTATAAATGCAAATAAGTCCATTCGTCTCCAAATTATCGATGTTCGTCTTAAAACTTTCTCTTTGTTATTTTGTTAGCTACTAGCTAGGTGTGTCTGCGTTGCTATGGTGACCAGCAGTCTGCGTGCCAACGTTCAGGGTTAAAGGGTAAATTAGCAGTTATATATCAACTATTTATTGTTAAAACTGTGTTAGAACGATCGGCAGAGCTTTATTTTACTGCCCAGAAGGATTATTTTATTTTTACCTAAAAATCTAATTTTGCTGTGGAGCCACAACAGGGCAGTAAAAGAGCTGCATGCAGCTCCGGGGCCCCATGTTGCTGACCCCTGCAGTAGTGAGTGGGGCCTCATTATTTGAAAGACTTTTGTTGTTGCAGTGTCAACAAATTGGCCAAAAAGAAGCAGCCATTCTTCATTACATCTTTACAGAACCCACATCATTGCTTTTTTAAAGTTACACTGTATAAGTTGTGGGGATTTGGAGACCCCTCTGGTGGATATGTGTAATGGCACTCAACTTGTGGAAGAACATTTTGTTGCGTGGGTCGTGCTTCTGATCCCTTCCCCGAGCAGATGAATCTGCTGATTGAAAGAAAATTCAAAGAGAACTCAGTCACAACTTGGCAAAGGACACGTCTTCTGAGGATGTGACTGAATAATCTACTATTGTCATCATGTCTTCATCAATATAATATTGATTTTGCATTTGGCACCTAAACATCGAGTCAGACCTTCTTTTTCAGCCTGTGCGTGTGACGCTAAGATGTAAAGATGTGCGACGTGGTGTGAAAAACTTGACCCGACACCTCTGACTTTTCAATTATTATTTCAGGATTTACTGGGCGACTCGCAGCAGCGCATGCATACTTGTATTTATTTTTCTTTAAAAGGTCACAGTGTAAACATGACTAAAGTTTCAAAATGTTTTTTTCCCAGTCTGTATATAAACAATAAACTGGAAAAATAGGCCATTTTCAATTCACCGTGATTGTGATGTCACAAACATGAACACATTTACACACAACCACTCATTCAGCCTAAAGCAGTTGAAGTGATGCTGTTTGCAGAGTTAATGCAGAGGAAGATGTGGGAAAATAAATGTTGTGCTGTTGCTGTCTGTCAGGAAGCAAACAGATCAGTACAGCCTTCCAAAGGACCCACATGTCTGAAAAGACCAGTTGAACCCTGAAGATTTAAGTTCCAAATTTCAACCCAGACCACTTTTTGAATGCAACACAATACAGGGCAGCCCATCAGAACAGAGCTCATTTGCATATACCAATCTTAAAGGCACAGTAACAAAAGCAGCCTGTTAAATTCTATGGGATGAAGAGAGATTGACAAATTGTAAATGTTTCTGGTACATAAACCCATGCACATTGTCAAATGTAGAACCTGGGCCCTTTAAACAGAGAGTGTTTGTTGAATGCTGAGTTTGTGTTGTTTCTGTTTGCAGTGGTTTGGTGTACGACTCGACTTACGGCAACCTGCTGAAGGTGGACGCACACGGAAACATCCTGGTGTGCTCACACGGCTTTATCTACCTGACAGGGTGAGAGAGGAGTTACTGTCGGAAAACAAAACCTTGAATCTCCATTTTTATAATTTTTCAGTTTTTGACATAATTTGAAAAGACCTGCTGGTCTTTACATTGTGTCTAGATTTATGAATGGACCAAAATAAATGGCCAAAAATGCCTTGGAAAAAAGTCTGGTTCTACTGACTTACATTAAAAGTAAAGGAAGTTTTTTCCTTCTCCTGTAAAGTTAACATTTTGGAGAGATGAGTTTTTGTATATATATGTGTGTGTGTGTGTGTATACACCGATCAGGCATAACATTATGACCACCTCCTTGTTTCTACGCTCATTGTCCATTTTATCAGCTCCACTTACTATATAGGTGCACTTTGTAGTTCTACAATTACAGACTGTAGTCCATCTGTTTCTCTGCATACTTTGCTAGCCCCCTTTTACCCTGTTCTTCAGTGGTCAGGACCCCCATGAACCCTCACAAAGCAGGTACTTTGGGTGGTGGATCATTCTCAGCACTGCATTAACACTGACGTGGTGGTGGTGTGTTAGTGTGTGTTGTGCTGGTATGAGTGGATCAGACACAGCAGTTATATCAATACTTGGGACATATTATTATAACATATTTATATATATATATATATATATATATATATATATATATTAATGCTGCCGGTGTGACATTAGCGACAAAAAAATTGAAATCACTGATAGATGGTATAATGCTGACAAACAATTGATAGATGTGGGATTGAGGGAGAAGATGATGTCATAGGAAACTAAACAAGGGCATGTGTGAGTGCTTGTGCCATATGTTCCATATCATGTTACATAAATACTTTTTACTGCCTCTTTAAAGCACATGTAGACAGGTATGAGGTCTATAAATATATATCTGTATAACTCTGTGTATGTATATATACAGACCTCACACATCGCACACAGAACAAACAGCTGTTAGCGGCTGTAACGACTGGAACTGGTTTATCATAAGCGCACACACTGGGTGCCTGAAACGGACTTAAATGTTTGGGAACTATCCAGCTGCTCTATTTTAAAAGCACTTTAAATCATCTGTGGGTCAGACGTGGATGATGTGGCCAAAGACTGCAGGTTCCGGAGGGCTGCAGGGGGATTAGAGAGCAAGGCATTGTGTTGCAGGGGTCAGTTTATGAGAAGGTGTCGAGTTTGTTAGATGGAAAGCGGATGGCCTTGAGGCGTCTGGCCCCTTTTGATTTACACATATACTACAGGCTGTTTTTAGGCTGTAGGCTTTTAACACCTACTTCATTTGCGGAAGTCCGCACCACGCAGGCTCAGTTTGCTCAGTTTTACATTTCAAAAGTGCACCAAATTATATTATAATATAAATTCAAATATGCAGGTTTAGTAACCTTAAATTCCATGTTTTATCAATTTTTTGAGTGAAAATAAGTGAAAACGTGTTCTCTACAGAGAACACACTTCAGCATATTTCAATGCACAAAATCCCAACTAGTGAGAAACTGCATGTATTTTTGGTAAATTTGGTTTGATTACTTATTTATTTTGTAAAATATTCAAATGTAAAGTAACTGTGCTTTAATGTTTGAAGATTTTTTTTTTTTTTTAAATACTTCTTGTCACTTAACAACATAAACAAACGGTGTACTTTGGCCAAACTGCAACCATGGCTTAATCAGAATCTCACATGATGTTGCAGAGCGGAGATCCAGGAGTATTATCCCAACAGATTCATCCAGAGAGACGACACAGAGCGATTCTATATCCTCAACACTCTCTTCAACCTCTCAGGTACAAACAGCCCACCCACCTTCTCTCCACCCACCTAATGATAAAAATACATAAATGTTTTGTATTTTATAGCCATTTGGAATTGAAAAGAAAAAAAATACTGTTGCATTTACATACATCCACCCATTCAGCCTACAGCAGTTTAGCTCCGCCCATTCACTTAAGTTATAAAGAGTGTTTCAGCTCAGACGAGGCTCAATAGAGGGCAAGCAATCAGAACAGAGGCACAGTTCAATCTTAAAGGCACAGTAATGGAAACAGCCTATTCATTTGTAAGGGATAAAGAGGGGTTGGAAAATGATGACGTAAAAATGAATTATGACTGTTCTAGTACATAAAAACACAAACATTATAAGTGGAAAATGTAATATATGTGTCCTGTAATGTAATGAGATTTTATTCCATGTGTTTTTGAACTGTTCATCATGACATGTTCACGCAATGTAAAGGTCAGCTGGTGTTTTCAAATGGTATAAAAAAAGAATATATATTAAAAAAGCACACCCAAAGTTCACCCACAGTGTTGTTTTTTGTCAGTTCTGTTTTTGGCATATATGTATGATCAAACTCACGTCTGTTAGAACTGTGTGTAAATTTGAGTGTAATACTTTAACAAACAACCTGGAATCAATGTATTGTATGATACCAACAATGAGCGTAAAAACAGAAAATAACAATAACAATCCAGTACAAAAGTGGATGTATTTATTTTACATTGATTGGTGTAAACACATGCTGCAACTATTACATGTTCCATTTAAAGCCATATTACACTGTGCTTTTGTGTTATACTACTGACTCCGCCCACAACATAAATAATACAAAACACAGCTAGTGCAGAAGCATCTCATACACTACAGTAATACAGCATTTAAATATGTTATTTTAAGAAAATAATCACATTATTTTACCATCTTAAAAAACCAAGACGTTTTGTTTATTTCACAGTCATAGTTTCAACACTATAAAATTTGGTCAGTGCACTTACTGCTCCACCTCAGACTCCGCCTACAAGCACAACCATTGACTCACGAGCCGCTGAATGTTGTTGTTTTACTGGCGAAACACCTGCATGAATTAGGGTGTGTTTCATGTAAATCATATGTAAAGGAGGTGCTGGTAGGCTGGCGCTTGATTTCGCGCACTGAAGCTGATTCTTCAATTGCGTTTAACTATGCACTCAATTCCATGCCGTACAAAAGTTTCATAAACCAGATGCAGAGCAACTTGTATGTCATTAAAAGTGTCACATCTGTGCTCTTTATATGCCACTTTATGAGTAAGAGCCACTGTGTGATCTGACTGTTTCTTGGCAGAAACCTACCTGTACGCCTGCCTTGTGGACTTCTTCACCAGCAGCACCCGATACCAGAAGTGAGTGAAAAATTCTTCAGCAGCACCAGAGACGCTTTTCCTTAATTTACTTTGTTCAAATAATCACCTTCATTTATTTTGTGTATTGAAAATGATCACTTTAGATGCTTTTTAAAGGAGAATTCCATGATTTGGTAAGAAGTAAACAAAATGACATTGGTTTGGTTTGAAATGTTCCGTTCTTGAGAAACTTACTGAGAGTTGTTCACAGTGGTGGTGATAGGATCCAGACGTCCACCTCTAAAAGCTCCCTCACAGAAAGTTATTACATGAAGTGGTTATGAATACACTGCCTGATGCCTGAGACATTGTTTTATGATAAGTATGAAGGTTTTGGCCTAAAATAACATTCATTATGGAGAGATAAATGCAGGGCGTTATTAGGCAAAATAGTCCCCAAGGAAGACTTATTTTTTCAGATTTATCATTATTTTATCATCAACAATATTCCATATAAAGCTCAGAAGACACGTGTAGATTCACTGGTGGCTTTAAATCATTCAGTGTAAGGATTTTGAAGTAACATAAGTGATAAATTGAGGCTCAGTGAAAATAATCACTTAAGATGTTTTTTAAATGATGCATTGTAAATTACTGGAAGTATTAAAAGTGACTTACACTTTCATCTCTTTATCTCTCTCTCTCTCTCTCTCTCTCTCTCTCTCTCTCTCTCTCTTTCTCTCTTTGTAGCTACAGTCAAGGCTTTAAGCATGGTGACCTTTTCATGTCATTCAAAAGCATGTTTCAGGATGTGCGAGACGCCATGAACTACCTTCATGACACAGTAAGCTAACACCAGGACTGGGTTTTTTTGGGGCCACCAACTTGTTTACTGATGTAAAATTAGAGTCTAACTAATAACAGTGACGACCACAAGCTGTCTATGTTGTATATTTCTATGATTGGTAAATTTGTGTATTACTGATGATCAGATACTCATTTGGGGCTCTAATAAGTCATAGTTTAAATTACAGATAATTTTAGAAGACTGTGTCTCACTACTCAGTATTTCTTGTTTACTTAGAGTATCTAAACCTGGATTAATCACAGTCTGAGTATCTAAACTTGGATTCATCACAGCCTGAGTAAATAAACCTGGATTAATCTCAGTTTGAGTATCTAAACCTGGATTAATCACAGCCTGAGTATCTAAACCTGGATTAATCACAGTTTGAGTATCTAAACCTGGATTAATCACAGTTATGTATCTAAACCTGGATTAATCACAGTTGTGTATTTAAACCTAGATTAATCACAGCCTGAGTATCTAAACCTGGATTAATCACAGCCTGAGTATCTAAACCTGGATTAATCACAGTCACATATTTAAACCTGGATTAATCACAGTCTGAGAATCTAAACCTGGATTAATTACAGTCACATTTCTAAAGATGGATTAATCACAGTCTGAATATCTAAACTTGAATTCATCACAGCCTGAGTAAATAAACCTGGATTAAATCACAGCCTGATTATCTCAGTGTGAGTATTTTTAATGTGGATTAATCACAACCTGAGCATCTAAACTTGAATTAATCACAGTCACATATCTAAACCTGAATTAATCACAGTCACATATCTAAACCTGGATTAATCACAGTTTGAGTAAACAAACCTGGATTAATCACAGCCTGATTATCTAAACCTCGATTAATCACAGCCTGAGTATCTAAACATTGCTTAATCACAGTTTGAGTATTTTTAATGTGGATTAATCACAGCCTGGGTATCTAAACATTGCTTAATCACAGTTTGAGTATTTTTAATGTGGATTAATCACAGCCTGAGTATCTAAACATTGCTTAATCACAGTTTGAGTATTTTTAATGTGGGTTAATCACAGCCTGAGTATCTAAACCTGGATTAATTACAGTCACATATCTAAACCTGGATTAATCACAGTCTGAGTATCTAAACCTGGATTAATCACATCCTGACTATCTAAACCTGGATTAATCATGTCATTATAATGAAAGTGCTTTTTTCTCCTCACTCAAACAACCTAAGACAACTTGATGATACAATAAAAACCGATACATTGTTAGGGGGCACCATAATCAGCTGCTTATGTCACTGATTAGGTAGAACTGGCACTGGCTGGCACATAAACATACAAACTGTTTTGGTAACAACTGTACTAATTTAAAGGAATAGTCCTGGTTTTTTAACCGTATCTCTATCTGGTTGTATGCTATTGATTACCACAGACAATAATTTTGATGTGTAGCTCTGTTCTTAGAAAAAAACAGAAAACATTAACTGAAGATACACTTATAGTAGCAATTAGTGGTCACTTACTTTAATACCTTTCCATTGGCTTCTGTATCTTATAAGGTTTTCAGTTCCTTTGCAAGTACAGAAAAACAGACTGCAATTGCTGTGTTACTGATGACCAGTTGCAAAGCAAAGCAGTTTAAAAACACTCAAAATTCCTTTATTCTTGGCTAAATATCAGAGAAGACACCTGTCACATGCCCCGTGTCCCTATATCTTGAACAGAATGTGCTGAAGTAATGATATCAGAGAAGACACCTGTCACATGCCCCGTGTCCCTATATCTTGAACAGAATGTGCTGAAATCAGATGAATTTGGCTCTGCCTGCAGTAACAAAACAATATCAAATGAACTTTTTTAACACTGACTTTTAAACCCACAGGGCAGCCTGAAGGAGCGAACACTGAAGAATCTGGAGAAATATGTGATCAAAGATGTAAGTAATGTATTCAAAGAGGCATTTATCCTACGCTTTCACTCACTGGCCACTGTGCGCATCCACGAACTGGCCACTTTATTAGAAACGTCTACCTTATACTTCCACTCACTGGCCGCTTTATTAGAAACACCTACCGTGTGCTTCCACTCACTGGCCGCTTTATTAGAAACACCCACCTTATGCTTCCACTTACTGGCCGCTTTATTAGAAACAACTACCTTGTACTTCCATGTACTTGCACTTGTCATTGGTCAGGACCGCTGTTGTCCAGGTATTGTTTGAATGTTGAACCACCCCCAGAAAAATATCCAGCCAAGCGTGTCTCTGTGGTCAGAAACTGAGCTTTGATAAAGAGCTTGAGGACAGTTAACACAAACTATACATCCACAGATGAGCTACAAGAGAGGGGTTTCTAATAAATTGGCCAGTTAGTATAGATGTTTACTGAGGTTGTCTGTGTTACCATGAGAATTTTTTAAACTTCTTTTTGATACAAATTTTCTCCAGTCCTATTAGCTTTAGCTGAGAAAAATGGTTGTATTGGATTATAACTGAACTATGAGCAAACGTCTGACAGATTCTTCTCTCTGTGTCTTAGCCTCGGATTCCAGAGCTGCTAAGCCGGATAAAGAACGTCGCAAAAGTGTTCCTGGCAACCAACAGTGACTACAACTACACTGAGGCAAGTGATGTAGACAGTTCCTTCAGGAGCTTATTCTTCTTATCATGATTGTTTAAGATTTAAAAATCTACATTCAGTTTGTATTGCATAATCATTTATTTATTGAAAATATTAAATTACATTTGCATTCAATGTTGAACATTTTAAAAGCATAAAAAAAAAATCGCACATGAAACAAAACTATCAAATTCAAATCACAAAAATAACAAAAACATTTCCTCCTCTACTTGCACACCTTATTGAAAACATAGAACCTGCACTTCCCAGCTGATTTCTCTGCTTGTTTCAGTGAAATACGAGTCAGAAATAGTTAATAGTTAATCAAAATGTTTAAGTAGAATATTAGGAAATGAAAGGCAAAAACTGATCATAAATCAGCACTTACAATCATAACGCTGCTGTCGGAACAAGTAAATTTGGGCCATCTCTTTTGGTCCATTCATGGTGAAATTTACACACAATGTAAAGGCAACAGGCATTTTCAAATTATGTCAAAAACTGAAGACAACAGGGATATGTTTATAGCAGGCAAATTGGGGATGTACTGGGCCAAAGTGCTGCAGAGATCAGCGTTTACTCTCATCTAATGCTCTGAATTCAGTTTATGAAGGCCTTGCTAATTAGCTGAATCCGGTGTGTTTAATGAGGCAGCGTGCTGAAGTCTGCAGTGTTTTGCCCCACGTGGACTAGAGCCTGACACATGTGGTTTATAGTATATGACCTGAGAAATTGACTTGTTTTGTAACCAGGCCATCATGAAATACTTATTAGATTCTCCAGCTGGTTCAAAGGTGAGCAACTCTTTCATTTTTAAAGGGTTCATATCTTTCATTTTTCCTGTATTTTATCCCCCCCATCCCCCCATTGGGTCATTGGGTCTTTGCTGACCTCAGCAGAACCATCAGAAGTGTCCATATGTTATTTAAATTTTTGGTGTCTATGAAAACAGTAGAGCCAATGAACTGCCTCTATCTCCCTTAGAACCCAAGGAAATTGTGGCGCTCCTACTTTGACCTGGTGGTGGTGGACACGCGGAAGCCACTGTTTTTTGCTGAGGGGACGGTGTTAAGACAGGTTGACACGGTACGTCTCTTTTTAATCTAGTTTGACCCATAGTTTGTGTAGTACAGTTCAGTATTTAACCCCACAGTGGCATAATGTCTTTACTGGACCCATATATTTGCGGGTTTCTGCATAATTCAATTAATGAGATGTAAACTGAGTCATTCAGAGCGGTTTGATTGGTTGACTTTTAAGACAGATTTCTTTACAGTGGTGGTGATAGGAACCAGGGGTTGCCATGTCTACAACACAAATATAAACATTTTATTTACTATCCAACATCACCAATGAACCTACATGTGTCTTCTATTTTATATGGTTTTTATATGTAATGTTGATGATGGTAAAATAGTCATAAAAGTTTTCTTTTTTCTATTTTGCCTCACAACACCCTATATATATCTCTGAACCATTAATAGATTTAACTTTTTTATTTACTGAGGTACATTTTCATGCGGGTGCCCATTCATTTTTTGCACTGGGTTGGATATAATGCTAGTAGAACCACTGAATTGACTAAATGTTACTCTTCCAGAACACAGGGAAGCTGAGGATAGGAACGTACACTGGAGACCTGCAGCATGGAACAGTCTACTCTGGAGGTAAACATTTGTTCTCTATAACTAAGAGAGGTCGGCAAAGTGGCTGGTGTTTCATGCTAGACTTGGTTAAATATAATATTGGTATTTTAGTCTCTATTTCTTTACCATTATTATTTATTTGTGGGTCTATGCAAAAACAGAACTATAGACACCTGTAAACGTTCTACATTTTGCATCATAACTAAAACAATATTAGATAAGAAAAACTTACATAAATATATAGTCACACACTAATAAATAGTCAGGATGTATTTATATCTTGTGCATTATTTAACTACTAATTAGGTTAGGAAGGAAACAAATACATACAGAATACAGATAGGGTCATATCATTGTACATACAGATATTGGGATTCAAGCTATTTTTTCTAAAGAGTAACATTCACATATAAGAGAAAGGGGGGAATGTTAGTCAGTGGGTGGACATTTCAGCTTCTCAAAATATGCAATCATGGAATCTATAGAACAAAAAGCATAAGATTGCCAATTAATCAATATCCCCCTCCTAGCCAGTCAAGCAAAGACCAAGACCTCCTGACTAAATCCTATTTGGCAGTAATGAACCCTATAAAGGCCCTTGAACTGAATAAGATTAAGTCGTGCACATGACAAAGATCTATTGATTATGTTCATAGTTGATTTCCAAGTTTCTTCAGGTATGGTCAGACCCAACTCTTCAATCCAAGCTGTGCGAATGTTCTCTAAACGCGGATAATGTTGGGCGGGTATTAGAAATTCTTGAAATTAAACCTTTATTTATAATGGTAATTCATGGTAATTGTATATTTTTTTAGATTTTTTTTATACATTTGTCATCTTAGAAACCACATAACTAGGTCTATTAGAGATTCCTGAACAACTTGAGACAGTTTGAAACAACTGTGATGATTAAGCCATGCAGTTTGTACAATTCCAATTAGCTTCCTTTACTTGTTAGCTACTGCTAAAGGAAACTAACTTCAAACACCAAACATGTCTTGGCTGATCGATTACATTTAGGGCAGGAGGAGAAACTGCATAAATGTCATTTTCCACCAAAAAAAGTTTCTTGTCTATCATACTGATCCTAATCTGCTCCTGTCTCAGGTTCGTCAGACATCATCTGTGACTTGCTGGACGTGAGGGGGAAAGAAATTCTGTACGTCGGAGACCACATATTTGGGGACATCCTCAAGTCCAAGAAGCGTCAGGGCTGGAAAACCTTTTTGGTGGTGCCTGAGCTCACCAAGGAGCTCCAAGTGTGGACGGAAAAAATTAGTGAGGAGATTTAAAGATTCTGTCCACCAGTTAAGCTAATGTGGCCAACAATAATGCAAGCTGACTTAGACAAGTTAGCATAACATCTTGCCAGCTAGCTTTGCTAGCTACTAATATTAGCAGTGTTCGCCTTTTTATACGTTTTCCATTTTATGTTGCATTTTTGAAGTATTTTAGTTTCAAAATGTTGTCAGCTGTAATAATCACAGTTATGGTCAGTTTCTGACCACAGAGCTGTTCTTGGCTGGATATTTTTTGTATATATCTTTCCTCCCAAAATATTTCTGGTCAACAGCAGTCCTGTGGTCAGAAATTGACCAGTGAGGAATGTGGTACGGCTACAGTCTGTAACTGTACATCAATATAGTGGAGCACTAAGATAAGTGGAGCTTAAACTGGACAGTTTCTAATAAAGTAGACAGTGTTGCACCATTTAAAAGCAAACATAACAATTTTAGAGACTGTGTAATAATAAATAATAATGTCATACATCTTTATGCAGGTATGTTTGAGGAGCTCAGGCAGCTCGATATTTACCTGGCTGAGCTGCATAAGTGAGTATGAGTATGTTTTCACAGTTTCTGCATTGCTACTACATTTGCCTCGATAACAGATGCAATAGTCATACATGAAATGAACTACAGGTGGCAGCAGAGTGTAACAATTCCACTCAATACCTTATCTCCGTGCTGTTCCTGTCATTACAGGCATTTGGACAGTGGTATTGTTAGTGGTCCAGATATTGGTTTGATCCACAGCAAGATTAAGGTAAGCTAATATTTCTAACACATTTTGAATGTACTGCAGATCAGTTCAGTATGCGTTTAAATTTTCACTCTGCACTTTGCCATCTTCATTCTTCATTAAAGAGTTGTTTGTGTGTGTAAACTGCAGAAGATGACGTACACAATGGATCTGTGTTATGGAAAGATGGGGAGTCTCCTGCGTTATGGTTCCACAAAAACGCTCTTTGCCAGCCAGCTGCTTCGTTATGCTGACCTGTACGCCGCATCCTGCCTTAACTTGCTGCACTACCCAATCACCTACCTCTTCAGAGCTCACTCTGTCCTGGTAATAATAATAATAATAATAATAATAATAATAATGATAATAAAAAACATATCGTCATTCCTGTTGCGATCTCCATCAATGAGCTCATCTCCAAAGATCTGAGTGCTTCTGTGGTGAAGCTCCTTCTCCAACACTTATGGATAACGCAAATAATGATCCTTGGAACATCACTAGAAAGTTCATGTCACTTAATGTGTTATTTAGTCTGACATTCTAGTCCAGTCACAATTGGCTGTTGACACCATTATAATACCTTGCAAAACAAGAGAAAAACTCATAATAACTAGAAAAGGAATGAATTTAATTTGGCTTGAAAAAGCCAGCTAGTTAATTTTTTTAATTTACTGATACCTTAAATTCATTGCTACCTTACATGCACTGCCACCTTAAATTTACTGCCACCTTAAATTAACTTCTACTTTAAATTTACCGCCACCTCACATTTACTGATCTCTTAAATTCACTGCCACCGTAAATTTACTGATATATTAAATTTACTGCCACCTTAAATTTACTAAATTCAATTATTTGTGCTGTTATTGGTGTGCATTAGGCTATAAGTGTGTGTCTGTGTGTACTGTGTATGACTGTCTGTGTGAGAGATGTCCATTGTGAAATCACTTTAAGTTAGACTTAAATATCCCAAACATTCTGCCATTCATTTCCTATTGGAAAAATATAATCTTTGAACAATCGCTTTACGAAAACCATACGTCAGATCACTTAGAAAAGCATAAGCACATCATTTAGGTATGAGACCTATGATCCTGCAAAGCTCATGTTTCTAGCCTTAAAAAACCACAGGACGAGAAACATTTTGTTTTTTGAGCATATAATAATAATAATAATAATAATAATATGATAACAAGGAACAGTAAGTTGGCTTTTTCAAGCCAACTAAATAATAAATAAATACATGAATAATAATAAATAATAATAATAATAATAATAATAATAGTTGACAAAGATGAGCACATCTAACATCTTTTGATATTTCACAGCTAACTACTAATTATTTTAAAACAGTAAACCATATTTAATTACTGGAATCATATTAAAATACTTTTATAAATGTATCTGCAACCAAGCTGGTTGCATACTATTAAAATCAGTGATTGCAAACCACATATTATATAACATTTTTCCTCCAGATGCCCCATGAATCTGCTGTAAGTCCTCAAAACAGCCAGGAACTGCCCATCTCCAACCTGTCAGCCAATCACATCCTCAGAATCACACCACTACAGGTGGGACAAGTTCAGTTGTCATTCACTCACTTATAGAATTCCAGAATGTATATATTATATCAGAAATGTATTTATTATTTTCATGTGAATGCTGTATTTCAAGTTAATAAGACGTGGCTTATTACTGTTGTAGCTAGGTTGCTTGTTAACTTGTTGTTTTATGAACGTTTGAGTGAGTGAAGCTGAAGAATAGGAGGTATCATTTTACAATAAGAGTACCCTTGTAAAATGGTTTAAGAATGGTTTAATAATGTTTAATTAATAAGCAATTATAACGCATACATAAAAAGGGTAAAAGTGACTTGTTTCTTGCCAAATAGTGAGCCCACATTCATCTGCTCTGTTAAAGCTGGTTGCTGAACTTACTTTATCAGTCAACATTGAACCTGCCAGCATCAGATATTCATATTCCTCAGATATAACAGACCGCTGTTCCCTTTTCATTTATGTTATAACTACTATTTTTTATGGTGTTAATAAACCTTTTATTATGGTAGTCTTATTGTAAAGTGGTTTTGTACAAGAATGTTTCAAGTATAAACCTCTCAAGAAAGTGCAGTGCTTCAAAGCACATATGAATATGGCTTCATAATCATTGTTTTGAAAAAGCTCAGTTGTTATTGTTGAAATCTGAGCCCATTAAACATTGCTATGCAACACTACTGCTTTCATTTGAGGGCCTTTAATGATGAACGAACTATTCTGCATTGATCTATGAAACTTTTGTCAGATGTGGAAATGAGTGGAGATTTGAGTACAAATGATGAACCAACTTCAGTGCGTGAATTCAAGCGCCAGTCTACCAGCACTGAATTTACATATCATTTACATGGACCACACCCTAATTCATGCAGGCGTTTTGGTAGGGAAACTGCTCCCCCTACTATAACTTTATAGTGTTAAAATTACAACCACTGTAAAGAATAAAATGTGAAATATACAAAACGTCTGTTTTTTAAGATGGTAGAATAATAAAATAACATTTAAACGCTGTATTATTGCAGTGTATGAGATGCTTCTGTATTGTTTGTTTTTTTATTTGTTTTTGGGTGGAGTCAGTAGTATAAAACAAAAGCACAGTGTATTTATATTTGTATTATTGTTATTTTCTATTTTAATATCCCTATTATTAGTGTTATACACATTTAAAAAAGATGGTTCTTCAAGGGTTCTTTAGTAAAGAAAATAGTTCTGTATAAAACCATGAACACTCAAAGAGCCCATTGCATGATTAAAGGGTTCTTTGCATCGTGAAATTGTTCTCCAGATTGAGTGTGTTTTATGTAGTTCTATATAGAACCTTTTTGAAAAGGGTTTTATATAGCACAAAAAAAGTGTTTTTCAATTGTTACTTTTGGTGCTATATAGAACCCTTTTCAAAAAGGTTCTTATACCATATACCAGCACATTCTCTATTAATCTGATGAACCCCTTTAATGATGCAAAGAACTCTTAAATCATGCAAAGGGTTCTCTGAGTGTTCATGGTTCTATACAGAACCATTTCCTTTACTAAAGAACCCTTGAAGAACCATAATTTTTAAATGTGTAATAATTCTGACTAATTTACTGCTGCTGCCTTTCTCACTGCAGGTTTGTTTTAAAGACTTCAAATGAAGTTTTTTCTTTGAGGGATAAAGGCATGTTTAGAAACAAATGCGATCAGCTGAGAGCTTCATTTATCAGTTTGCAAACTGTCATTTCGAAGGTAATCATTCTTAGAGGGGATGGTTTTAATAGTGAAGCACTGAACCACATTCTCCCTGATTCATAAAATGATGTCCTTTAATGTCCTTTAATTTATCTGAATCAAACTCCTCTGTCTTTTCCACAGAGGCTGTGTCAGTGTGACGGTGATAACTGTGGGCTGGATAACTGTGCGCAGGACAACACAGCCATATAGATGGAGACATGAGAGCGAGTGGGCAAGCAAACGAGTGAGAGAGAGAGAAAAAAGAAAAATAGAGTAAGAGAGAGTGAGAGAGAGTGTGTTTTTTTTATTTCTGTAAAAACTGTTTTTTTTTTTTCCCAGTTGTCTTTATCGACTGCTCAGGCCAGGGAACCCAAGCAACAGCAGCTCTTACCCTCAGCATTTTCCTCTGTATTAAAGAAATACGGCACCCAAAAATACTAATGCTGCTAACAATCAATGTAAAATAGAGTCAAAACCATGAACTGACTCACTGAATGCTGTTGTCATCATTGATTAGCAGCATTACTGGGTGAATGAGTTTTATTTAGTTACAAGTTACTTGGTAAACAGGCAGTCGTTCATCATTCTAGTGATAGTTATATTCTACAGTAGATGTGGGCGATACGGCAGAAACATAAAATACACACACACACACACACACACACACACACACACACACACACACATATATATATATATATATATATATATATATATATATATATATATATATATATATATATATGCATCATATTTATTTTTTTTGAGATTTGTTGGAACAGACAAAATAAAGCCTGTAGTGCCACACATAAAAATACTATACTACTACTACTACTACTACTACTACTAATAATAATAATAATAATAATAATAATAATAACAACAACAACAACAACAACAACAACAACGACAACAAGAACAGCAACAACAACAATAACAATAAAAACTACAACGATTTTTATTCAGTGCTTTATAAACTGCAGTGCAATAAACCTAAATAAACAGGACTAAGTTATGCTCATTAGGTAATGAAACATGTAGTTGGTCAGTGTTCTTTAAGTATGATATGCTCAGATGTGATCACGATAATGATAAAATATCATAATGTTGCCCACCCCATTCTACACCCACAGTGTGAGGTGGAGAAAGTACAAAAAGTAGAAATAATTAAAAGACCTAAGTTCACGTCTGCAGCTGTACAGGTCTGCTTAGCGGAAATTGCTCAGAATAATAATTTAATAACTGTTACAACAGACAGTACATTTAGTTTAGATATGTAAATAATAAAGCAAGTACTTTTTGTTCTTTTACTCACATATAAATAGAAAATAGGACTTTTATTGAAGTAACTTTTACTCAACTAACATTCAGTGGCCAGGTCCTTCAGTTCAGTCCATATACAGCAGATCTTGGCCAAAAAAAAAAAGAGAAAAAACCCTCCTCTACCATAATCCTGATTTCTCCTTGCATCCCTATGAGGTTTCTAATAGTATGTTAGCGCTAAGATAACGGTCGCGCTTGTTAACACATTTAGGTTGTTCTAGGTTAAACGCTGATATTTGAACGCTTTAATTGAGACTTGTAACATACCTTAACATACATTTCACCTTGTAATTACCAGTTTTACATTAACTCTTTTAATAAAGAAATAAATTCTGCCAGTATTTCAACATTTTTGCATGATTGAGTAGTTGAGGTGTAAACTTTGAGTGGTCTGACGTGGTTCAGTGGTGGTGATAGGAACCAGGGGTCCTGAGGACTACAGTACAAATATAGGCTTTTTATTTACTTTCCAGAATGACCAGTAAACCTACACGTGTCTTATGAGTTTTATATGTAATGTTCATAATGTTAAACAGTGGTAAATATAAACAATAATACATTTTGTTTTCAGTTCTACTTTGCCTCACAAGCCTCTGCATGTATCCCTCCTGCATGAATAAATAATAAAAATCAAGTGTCTCAGACATCAGGCAGTGCATTCATTTCACTTTTATGTAATAACTTTTATTTCATGTAATAACTTTCTGTGAGGGAGCTTTTAGAGGTGGATGTCTGGTTCCTATCACCACCACTGTGAACAATTCTGACTCGGTAAGTTTCTCTAGAACAGCATTTCACAACAAACCACTCTGAATAACTCTGTTTACATCTGAACCGTTTATTTATGTAGAAATATAGTTTAAATACAACAAGCATGACGATTCTATTAAGTAAAAATTCAGAGTTTTTTAGTTCCTAGAAATCATTAAACCTTCTCTGAAGATCTACAAGGTCCAGAGGATTCTGGGGAATATTTCACCTTGAGCTTTTCTACTTTCCTTCACTTTGTTCACAGCTCTTTGTGAATATGCCAATAGGTTATTAAGATAGCATTCTTCAGCTCCAGGCTGAGAAGAGCAGACTAGGAGTGTGAAAATGCATCGATCTGGAGGTCTTGACTCAACTGCATCCATTTTGGAAAGTTGTAATCCTATTATAATCAATTATAGTAACATTCAGTAAAATATATGCACACTCTATTTTGGCCACAGTAAAATTATCAGGCTGTTTTTCAAATATAAATACAGTCGTGTACAAAAGTTTGAACACCCCAGGCAAATTCCTTGTTTTGTTAATTTTTTTAATAAATTTAAATTGAAAAAAAAATAAATAAATAGAAATAAATAAATAGAAATAAATTTTGCAAAACTGCCATATTTAAGTGTGTTCTCTGTAAAAGATGTTAACTCACTTTCACTAAGCAAATTAACAAAACATGGAATTCGACCGGGGCACTCAAACTTTTGCGTACACCTCTATATGAAAAGGCTCAGTGTGGTGTTTTTATTGTCTGCGTACACCACTGCTGCGTAAACAGTTCCTTCTGTCACATTTGTGTATTTTTTAAAAGTCTGAATTGTACCAGTTTTATCATTTAGCTTTAGCTTTTGCTACTCACAACCTTATCCTCATCTGCTTTAACAATAGAGATCTACTGTCTACAGTATTTATGCTATTTGTTTATATCATGCATATGTGCTTTACTTGTATTGCTTATCAGATATTTGTCATGTCATATTTCACATTTGATTGCCTCTATATATACAGCAGGATTAGGAGGAGAAAGAGGATTAGGCTGGTCTTGGGCTAGGCCAGGTTTAGTGCTCTGAAACACACACAAAACTGGTTCTTTCAGCTCTCTGCATTCTTTTCTTTCTTGCCTTATATGGAGATACAGGCCAGGTGTAGTCAGTGTTTGGACTTTTCTAAAAGCATGTAAACTTTAAGTTTCTTTCTTCCTGTTAAAACTGAAATTTGTTTTTCTGAAGATTTGTATCTTTTTTATAACTAATAAAAATCTTTAAATGTCTCATTATGAGGCTGTTTATTTTATTGCATTACAATCCACAGTGTTCAAGTCTTCACAGAAAAGACCAGACTAGACTGGACTATTAGCCTTGTTACTAATACAAACATATGACTGATCTGGGAGAGGGGCTCCCAACTAGAACTTTGCTTAGGGCCTACAAATGTCCAGAAACAGCCCACAGATGGATAGCTAGAAAGACGGACAGTCATATGCAAAAATTTGAATATCCCTGGTCAAATTTTAAGTAAATTTTGTTTTGTTTATTTTCTAATTATATTAAGTACACATCCTCTAAAGAGAACCTAAATGTGGCACATGTGTGTGAATTTTAGTGTACATTTCAATTTATTGGAAAAAAATAGCATAAAATATAATATAAAAATCTGCCATAACTGCCTCCTCCCCAGATGGGTGCATTAGTGTGTTCTCTGTAAACCTGTTAATTTATTTACACTTTGAACATGAACTACCCAGAATTACCTAGATAATCTGATCAGTCTAACGCAAACTTTAAACACCCTCCGTAAAATTATGTTTTGTTTCTAAGTAAAAATAAGTTCAAACATCTTCTATAGGAAACTTGAATGTGGCATTTCTCTGCTAATTTAATTGGTATTTATTTGGGTTAACTTATCAGTGAAAAAAAAAAACATAAAACATATTACAAAATGTGTCCTGTGCAAAGGTTAATATGTTAAATTCAGCAAATAAACAGCAATTGTGCACTGTATTCACAGAAGTGTGTTGTCTGTGAATATGTTCACTTATTCACACTTAGAAGATCAACAATGTGTGTAATCTGACCAGGGACGGCCAAACACAGTAGACAGGTAGGTAGGTAGTCCCAAAGGACACTGCATAATACACTTTATCGCCATCTTTATCCTCACACTTCTTCGTAGTAACTGCTGGGAGAAAATCATTAACGCGCTGTTGCCGCTAGATGTCGCCAGGGTCCGCGTTTACCGCGCCGCCCTGCTGCGAGTGGAAACATGGCCTGTTACAAACAAGATTCACCCACATCAGTTTCGCCACAACAGCCTCTGCATCCCAGAGCACATACAGAAAATAAAAATAAAAAAATAAAAATGAACATATTTGTCAGGAACAGTTGCGCAGCCCTTCTGTACTTTTGTTCTCTTAACGACCCCTGTACAGCACCAACACAGCACTGCAAGGAGATTCGTAGATTCGTGACTCAGTAGGCCTCTCGTTTTTCTGTTCATGAGTATTTTTCATCCTTAAAACCTACCTTGTTGATTAATAACGCAGTTGACTTTAAAAACGCTCACCTTAGCTTGGGATACAGTCTTAGGCGTCATTTCCAGCTCCAGTTTTATAGGCCTTCTACCGAAGAGCCTATGACAATTAGACTGTTTAACAGGCTGTTACTCCCTCACGTCAAGCGTCTTTTTGCTGGTATCAACAAGAAAGAGGGCCTGTTAGGGGTCTGTTCCCCTTTACATACCGTAGAAACACGTTTTCTAAAATCAGTCCTCACTGAAAAGGCCTAGCTCAGAAGAAAATATATGCAAGATTGTCTCAAAGAAATAAACAGATCCCAATATTGAATTAATGAAGGATGTTTATCCTAAACCTCCCTCAGGAAAAAAGAGGAGACTAACATAAACGTTTGACTGTAAGACGTTCTGGTGATGAATAAGGAAAGGTCTAAGTTCTCCTTCTATACCTACAGACTGCTGAGAGAGTTCTGTGATCTAGAACACAGCTGTTCTATAGCTCTTCCACTTTTCTTGTGTAAGTATTATTCAGCTCAGACTGGAGTCAGACAGAAGAGTTAATCAATGTGTGTTACAATATGTGTTTGATCAAAATGAGAAAATCTGAGGGTTATTTTGTTTCTCCCGAGACAAATTTCACAAACAGGAGGAAAAGACTGAAGT